CTGCTGCTGCTGCAGAAGGGCCCCCAAAAAGAAAGTATATTTCTTGTGCGAGCAAAGGATAGACACAAAGGCTTAATGCCTTTGTTTCACAGAGCAACAAGAAAGTACCTGCATGTACACCCCAACATGGGGCTGGTGGGCCTCGTCCCCCCGGTGATAGAACAAGAGAGACAAATCAGGATGCAGCAGAAAGCAGAAACGCAACATAAAACACTGCAAAGGAGACGCATAAAGGCAAAGAAACACCAAGACACACAGCAGCAGCAGCAGCAGCAGCAGCAGCAGCAGCAGCAGCAGCAGCAGAAGGGTCAGGGTAGCAGCAGTCCCCCCCCAGATGCATGCGCTAGCAGGGGAGAAGTGCTGCTGAGGCCCTGCCGCATAGAGATGATCCCTCTTGCTGATCTGCTGCTGCAGCAGTCAGTGCAGCGGCTGCTGTCGAGCGTGCAGGAGGTGGCGCAGCAGACGCAGCGGGAGTTGCTGCTGCAGGAGTCACGAAGGGGGGGGCCCCCCTCTTCTAGGGGGCCCCCACCAGGCAGACAAAGAACCACCAGCAGCAGCAGCATCAGCAGCAGCAGCAGCAGCAGCAGCAGCAGCAGCAACAGCAGCAATGCTTCTTCTGATGAAGCAGATGGCTTCGGTGGTGTTGTTGCTTCTGAGGGAGGAGACGATCCCGATCCCAGCAGGTGGAGGGGCAGCCGCAGAGCCATGGTGCCCCCACTAGGCCTTGCAGAGAGACCAACAGAAGCAGCAGCAGCAGCAGCAGCAGCAGCAGCAGCAGCAGCAGCAGAAGCACCAGCAGCAGCACCGCTGCAGCCGCCTGTTGTTTCGTTTCAGCTTGATGATGAGGGGGTACAGACCGACGTAGAAGGCTGAGCCAGCAGCAGCACTGCAGCAGCACTGCAGCAGCACTGCAGCAGCACTGCAGCAGCAAGCAGCAGTGCTGCAGCATTTGTATTTTGCTGCTGTTTGTTATTTATGTATTTGTTTATATCTCTTCTCGTCTTAGCGTCATCTACATAAACATCTGCTGCTTCCACAAAGCCAACCTCCTTAATACCAGCAGAAGCAGCAGCAGCAGCAGCAGCAGCAGCAGCGGCAGCAGCTGGCGCTGCTGCTGCTGCTGTTGCAGCAGTATCGCTCAAGGGTTTGCTGGGGCTGCAGCAACGACACAGTGGGGGGTCCACTGGTCTTAGCAGGAGAGGGAGAGGAGGAGGGGCACATAGGGAGATATATATATGTATATATGTATATATTTATTATATTTATATTTATATATTTACTTCTACATATATATGTATATATATACACTCTGTCTATATACACTCTGTCTGTCTGCGGCAGCACAGACAGCACGAGACACGAGAGTGTTTGCTTCACTGTCTCTGTTTTTTTATTTTCTACGCTGGGATCGTTGAGCGGCCCCTTAATCACCCCACTTTGCCGCTCTTACAGGGCAAGGGTTTAGGGTTTAGGGTTTAGGGTTTAGGGTTTAGGGTTTGGGGTTTAAGGCTTTCTCCAATGTTTGTCTGGGGCTGACGGTACACCCCACAAAGTACCCGTCACTTGCTTCTCTATAACTAGACATTCTGTCTTCAAACGGCTTCATACAGGCCGCGCATGCATGCATGCATGCATGCATGCATGTATGCATGCATGCATGCAGTGAGAGCAGGCGGAGTAGACCGCATGCAGGCTGCAGCAGCAAGACCTTGAGTGCTGCTGCATGCAAACTGCAGCAAGCGGCCGGACAGACCGTTCGTCTGCTGTTGGGTTTTCGGTTGTTTATTTGTCTTATGGCCGCACATCGGCTGAACTCAACTGCAGCAGCAGACTTTGGGAAGGCTCCCGTTCAGCAGCAACTTCTCCAGCAGCAGCAGCAGCTGCAGCAGCAGCAGCTGCTGCTGCTGCTGCTGCTGCAGCACCTGCTGCCTGTCAAGTAGCTCCTATGTTCTTGTTTGACTCGGCTCGATACACACGACTGAGGTGTCAGTGTAGCAGTGTGGGGGCAAGAGACACTAGGGAGACAGTGTCTCCAACAGTGCAGCAAACGAACAACCTAGTGGGTCCGAAGGGGGCTTGCGTCAGCTAGCTAGCCGGCTAGCTGCGCAGTTATCTAGCTAGCTAGCTAGCTAGCTTTACGGATGGCCGCATTGGTTACTGCATTGCTAGCGGCCTGCGGAGCGGACCCCGTACCAGCTAGCTAGCTTGCTGTTGTATGGCCGGCTGCCTCGGTGCAAAACAAAAAGAGGTCTTGGAGCTTATGCCGCAACCCCAGCTGCCTGAGCCCGAGGCCCTTGGCTTTATACCCAGAAACGCTTCAGTTTTGCTTACCTGCAGCTTCATGGTAGCCATATACACAAGACAGAATACAAGCTTTTAGGCGGCATAGATCCTTATCTTCAGCTCACACAAACACATGCTTGAGCTGGGGCTTGCCAGGCAGATGAAAGGGGCTTACAGCCCTGCGAAAGGCTCTTGCAGCCACCGCACGTACAAGGAAGAGCTTATTACGTCTCCGGGAGACCTTTGAAGCCTTGAGGGGTTTGTCTCCTCAAGCCAAGAGGAGACTGTGGCTACAGGTGCAAAGGTACCTTCTTTATTAGAAGGGGAAACATTATAACTGTAGCTATGTTGTTGTCAGGATGCCATTTTTTGGAATATGTCGGAGTATGGAAATTTTCCTGCGTGGGCTGTGATGTAGTTTTATCTCCACCGCAGCAAGGGAACAACCAGCGGCAATGTTAGAAAAGTACTTAGAGCAAGCGAAGTTACCGATAGAGCGGTACCTCTAGAAGTGTCTACACTCGATGGTGTTGAAGCATCTGTACCAATGGTTCATTACAGGATTGTTTCGTGAAGAGCGGCAATCTGTATCCGGGTGGGCTAGAAGGGGAGAATTACGGGGTGAACAAGTGGAGCAAGGCCGGAGATGATGGAGTATATGCGCATTAAAGAGAGAAAACACCACATTGACCGCGCTATCTGAACAGGAAAAACTACTGTTTGGGTATCGTCGAGGTAGAGAAACAACGGATATGGAGACTGTTAATGTCAGCCCCGCAAAGAAAGTGAGAGCGAGCGACAGCCAGCAAATTTGGCGATCGGAAACCCTGGGGAGCGTGGCATACCGAATAGCTCGTCTGCTCTCTTTGCAGCAATCGCCGTCACATTGACGGAGGCGTCTAGCTAGCGAAAAGGGGGCTAGGGAACCTGAAAGGAGACACGCTGAGCAGGGCTGTCGAGGAAGCAAACAAACCGGGCAGAAAAATTCCCGGGCCCGCCACACGGTGGGTGTGCTGGAGTGGTGAGGCGAGAGGAGGTGACAACGCCCCTGAAATCCCTCTTCGGCACTCATACAAGCTCATATTGATGGGCTGGGGCTGCTACTGCTACTTGACAGAGGCTCAGGAATAGACCTGACTTTTGAAGCGATGACGAGACCGTACTTCTACATTCATTGGGGCAGTCTCTGTGACTACTCTTCGTGGGTGGCAGACGAAAGAGAAAACTCAGCAAAAAAGTATGGGAGCAAATTGTGAGCTCAGTAAATAAATAGGTTATCTTGCCATGATACGGGAATTCTATTTTGTAACTAACCGTGCAGCGGAAACTCAGTAAAGGGTGCGCGTGCCGCCTGCAGATGAGACAATTGATGTCTATGTGCCTACGTGTCCGGGAGCAGAGAGAAAGTGCACTACTCAGCGCTCCCAGTGGGGTTACTATCTTCTACGGCAAGAGGAGTGAAAGCAGTGTCCCAAGGAAAAAGGAGCGAGGAGGTTCCTCCATAGTGAGGTGGCGTTACCGGAAACAACAAAGAAATGCATGCACTCCGTCGTTATGGTCCTACAAAAAGCGTAGTTTCGGGGGAGTTTATATGCTCAACACACGCAGAACAGCAGAAGTATACACAAGCGACAGAAAGAATTCTAAGATGCATTAAATACCGCGGAGTTTCCAACGGGCCGGCCCCCTGTAGAGGCCGGCCAATGGACACAGACGAACTCACTCCCCGCACAGCCCCAAGTTTTGTCCCGGTATACAAGGGAGACCCCGCGCCTTGAAGAGGAATTCAAGTGGAAAGCTAAGAAAAGGCAAAGTTCAACCGTCAGCTAGCGTATGTGGGCACAGTCCCATGGTGCTCAAGAAAAGGTACAGAAGGTAGACACCAAGTCCCCCAACAAAATCACGATGAGGCAAAAGCAGCAGATGTCCCGATTCTGCTGATAGTATGAACGCTTGCAAAGCCCAAAAGTGTATTCGTGATGCACAACTGAGCAGTATGTTCGTGTGTTGGCTTTTTCTGAAGCTCTTTTACATATTTTAATATACCCCGACGAGAGGCATAAGATTCCGTTACATGTTTGTACGCAAGTAAGCTGCAGTACTGCTCTGTCCCCTATTCGCTTGTGAATGCAACTGAAGAACAGCGGTGCCCGGCCAAAAACTATTTTATAGTGTACGTTGGTGCTACAACCTAGCAGGGATTCTCCGCACATTTTCCGTACGACTGGATTGGCCAGGTTAAGAAGCCCATTGCAACCCCGGAGACAAGGCAAAGGCCGCCACAGTGGCCTTTGGAAGGGCCGGGATACAGCCGAGCCATGTGGTCAACAGCAGCAGCAATGACAGCAGAAATATTAACACCAAGAAGATGAGTAATGCAGGCAACAGAGCAGATGACAGTACACGCAAGAATAGCAACACCAAAACCACCAACAACCATTGCTGCCGTTTCTGTCTAATTGGTGTAATTCTTTTGTTTGCATCTGGATATAAAATATTACTACGGTTTACACCTCAACGCAAACAAAAATGCAGCTCCAGAGCTGATCAGTGCAGCTCCCTTCAGAGACCCCAGAGGGCCTCGTGACCGTCAGGAGGAGACAGGAGACAAACAACAATCGTAGTTTCAGCCGAAGGATTGATTGGCCATTGTTATAGAGGAGAATGCAGGCCTCTTAGAACTTTATAATAACTTTCATTCACGTGGTTTCATGCGTACACTACATTCAATATATCAGCATCCCCTGTCATGGGAGTCGTCGATCCCAGCTAGGGACCGGTGTAAGCTTCAGTAGAGTATAACTAATTAAGATAAGAAGTTATAAAAAGCAACCACTGACACCTGGTGGGGGCCACAGGCATCCTAGGCACGACGACACAAAGAGCTGGAGCTGTTGCGGAGGGGAAGTGGCGAGGCATTGTATCAGACCTCGGCACTTCTGTTGCTCGGCAGCAGCCCCACATGCAAGCACAACCAAAGTTTTTTTGCTGCGTACTCCAACACTGCATGCAGTTGTTAAAGCCATAGTTTCCCCCTGTATTCTACCTTCACCTAGATAGAAATATATGTAACGACTAAAGAAAAATAATGCTATAAGTTTTGTATACCGCTGTGCTCAGGAGAAGCTGAGGCTGCGGGGGAGGCCAACAGATATATACAAAATTTTTTTTAACAGTTTTGACTCTACTGGAGCTCACCGCTATCCTCATACAAGACCAAGGTCTGTCACTACAGGGGGCTGTGGAGAAGCTGAAAGAGCAGTATAGCTGAGGGTGCATGCATGCAACTTATATTCTATAGACTCATGGTTATCGTTGCTCTATAGAAGAGGAGACAGCCAGATACTCGGGCTGCAGCTGAGAGCTTTGGTGGTGTCTCCAGTCTCCTTTGTGTTTTTTTTGGGGCCCTATATAGGGGTTAGTAGTGGAGCAGCACTAGTGAGCTGTTGAGGTGCGTTTTTTGTTTTTTGTTTATGCTGAGGTATAAAAAGTATATATATTTTATACATAAACAAGAACATAAACAACTGCAACAAACAGACAAAAATGGTAGCCTCGGTGTCGCCCCTGCAGCACCCATTGCTGTATGCGGCGGTAGCATCTATTGTGCATCTGCGGTGTATATACAGGTGCATGCAAATATGAAAGGCTGATGAAAGAGAATAAAATAAAAAAAAGAGTTTAAATAGAAATATAAATATATTTGTTTGCATAGTGCATCAACACAAGGAGGCAGCAGCTGCTGCCTGCCTCTCCTCCCTCTCTGTGCCTTCCGCGGGCGAGGGTTATATAATACACCATTCGTACTGAAAACGAGCATTTCTTTTAATTTAAATATTTTTATCGTGTTAATTATTGTTTATTTTATATAAAATAATTTAAAAAAGGAGAAGAAGGCAAAAAAAACCACCAGCATACACCCATCGCCTACTCTTATATACTACAGGCACTATCTACCCCCACTGGGGTGTATGTACAGCTCAGCCTGCAGCGTGATAGAGGCTCCGCCTTTTCGTCTTCTATTTGGGGTGCGAGTTGAAATAAATAATATTAATTTAATACTATTTACTGACAAATTATATTTATTTTATCAGGGGTACAGACAGGAGAGCTGGGGCCGCTTTCTCTCTGCAGCAGCAGCAGCAGCACGCCTCTACCCTAGGCGCAGCAGCTCTGGGGTGTATGTACACCTCAATAACTTTGGGGTTTACAAGCGACATCACGTATTTCTTTTCCGTATAATATAAACAGACATTATATATCTGCATTTATCCCCCTTCTCTTTGTTTCTTCTCCTCTTGGGCTCCACCGGCGCCAGCATCATCATCGTCAGCAGCAGCAGCAGCAGCAGCAGCAGCAGCAGCAGCAAGCTTCATTCGGATTCTATTAGTCTTTGATTGCTGCTATCATACTGCTGCTGCTGCTGCAGGTTCCTGCTGCTGCAGCAGACATATAGGGCCTCTCTCTTGCCTTCTCTACCTAGCTGCTGCTGCAGCAGCTCGATGGGGGTAGTTTGTATGGTGTATATACACCGCGCACGTTCTCCTTTGTTGTGTTGCTGCTGCTGCTAGCTTGGGTATGAAGCTGGGGGCCCCCTAGCGCTCATGCGGGGCCCACCCTGGGCCTGTGTTGCCCTATATAGGGGCCCTTCTGTGTGTGTTTTTTCTCTATCTTTTTCTCTATTATTTTCTTCTTTATATAGGGCCCCCCACCCACCCCCAACAATACCCAAGGGGCCTCTATGACTTCGTTAGCCCCCGCATGCATACCGGGGCCCCCGCTGCCTCCTCCTGGCCTCCTTAACCTCGGCAGGACCTGCTGCTTCAATGTCTTGCTGCAGGCTCTTGCTGCAACACGAACCTTCTCTACTCTCTATGCTCCTTATTCAGGGGGGCCCCCCTCATCTAGGGGGGCCCCCCACACACGCAGCGCAAACAAATGGGGGGCCCCAGACTCCAAGGGGGCCCCCACTTGGGGGGGCCCAACAGACGCAGTCAACCCGCAAGACACGTCAGTCCTTTGAAACCTCTGAAAGGGTTTAGGGTTTAGGGTTTAGGGTTTAGGGTTTAGGGTTTAGGGTTTAGCCGCTTCAGCTCTTAGGGTTTGGGACTTGCAGATTTGCTTGTTGGCTTTGCTTTCTCTCGGGAGGAGGGTTTAGGGTTTAGGGTTTAGGGTTTAGGGTTTAGGGTTTGGGGTTTTCGGTGTTTGTATACAGACCAGTTAACTTTCAGGTCTCGCAGATCCTAGCGGAGATGACGCGGGCCCCGCATCTCCACGACAGCAGCAGCAGCAGCAGCAACAGCAGCAGCAGCAGCAGCAACAGCAGCAACAGCAGCAGCAGCACGGCAGGGAACAGCAGCAGCAGCAGCAGCAGCAACAGCAGGCCAGCTATAGGGGGCATGAGGCGCAGCACCAGGGGCTCTAAGGGTAGACTATCACCCTCATCATCAGCAGCAGCAGCACCAACAGCAGCAGCAGCAGCAGCAGCATCAGCAGCAGCAGCAGCTCCGCCCGTCTCCCTTTCAGGGGGCCCCCGGGGCCGCCGCCGTGGTTGCTGGGCTTCTGCTGGGGGGGCCCCCGAGGGGCCCCCAGGGGCCCCCATGGAGTGCTGTGAAGAAGGGGTAGCTGGTGGCAGCATTTCGCGTGTATCTGTCTCTGCTGCTGCTACTCCTGCTGCTGCAGCAGCAGCAGCTGCTCCTGCAGCAGCAGCAGCAGCAGCAGCAGCTCCTGCTTGCTGCGGGGGCTCGCAGCGACCCCTAAAAAGGGTTAAGAGAGAAGCAAGACACAGGGTACTGAACCCTGCAGCCTTTGTCAGGCAGATGAGGCTCATCAACTCTGAGTTCCAAGAAGGCAGAGAACTTGTCAGCATACTAGGGTTTAGGGTTTAGGGTTTAGGGTTTGGGGTTTGGGGCTAGGGTTTAGGGTTTAGGGGGGAGGAGGAGGGGGAGGGAGAGGGTTTAAGGGTTCAACACGCAGGATACTGCGGGGTAAGGGTTTACAACACGCAAGAGATATGCCAACTAGGGTTTAGGGTTTAGGGTTTAGGGTTTAGGGTTTAGGGTTTGTGTTTAGGACGTGGAGGAGATATGGAGGTTTCTGATTGAGCAGATCTTCGCCGAGCTGCAGCCCCACCAAAGACAGGCCTACAGCAGCAGCAGCAGCAGCAGCAGCAGCAGCAGCAAGCCAGCAGCAGCAGCAGCAGCAGCAGCAGCAGCTTGTGTTGGCAGCAGCCTGCTGCCTTCTTTGTCTGTGTCTGCTAGTGCTGCACCCGTGAAGGGGGGAGACAGAAGGTCTCCGTTTGGTACCCTCATTGAGGGGGGCCCCCCCTATGGTGCTGGGGGCCCCCTGGGGGGGCCCCCGGGGGGGCCCCCGGGGGGCCCCCCTACCTGCAGCCACACTGCGCGGCAGCTGGAAGCAGCAGCAACGCGCCGGCGTGCTGCGAAGCGCAGCAGAAGAAGCAGCAGCAGCAGCAACAGCAGCAGCAGCAGCAGCAGCAGCAGAAGGGGCCCCACATGGAAGGGTACCGAAGGTGAGGGCCTCACCAATCAGGGTTTGCTGCCTTCGGATGCTGCAGCAGCAGAAACAGCAGCAGCAGCAGCAGCAGCAGCAGAAGATGGTTATTCCTCTCCTCTCCTTGTATACAAGGGCCCGGGGGCCCCTGAAGACTGTACCCTCGACAGAGAAGATAGAATGGGGCCCCCCCCCCTTGATAGTGAGGGGGGGGGCCCCCCTCATAGAGGGGGGGGGGGCCCCC